AAAAAGGGTAGGTGTGTTTTTCAAGCTCTTCTTAAACTGAACTAGTACATATGTAAATTGAAATGCATGTATGTGAAGTTCCAGCTGGGAAAAAAAAATAAATCCTAAACAGATTGCAGAGAGAAAATGAATAGTTAGGGGAATGTCAGTAAATATTCAGATATCCTCACAGTTTCTTAAATAAATGCACATTTGTAAAATATCAGATTGCATATTCCAAAGACAGCTTTAACTCTGTCCCTGCATCCATTCCCAGTCTTAGTCTGCAGACCAGAGAACCCCTACAGACAGAACGCTACATCAAATAAATTCTGAGGTACAGCCATCACACAATATGGTTAAGTTGGAATATTTTTACTGTTTAATAATAGACAAAGTGGATATTTTATTTTGGAATCAAAGTGCTGTTATGTGGATTTATGGTTTATAAGGTTGGCGGTGTTTCTGAGTACTTTCTTTTCCAAAGTACATAAATATAAAGTGGTAAAAATTTTGGTTTTAGCTTATAAATGTAGTTAATAATCTGTTCAAACAATAAAAAATTCTAGTTATTAATGGCCAAGAAATGTTGGGGGGGCTTGGTTTTTCTTCTTACAGGAGGATCATTTAAATCAACTGGATGAAATGAATAGGCAATGAATATCACAATGGTTTGGGGGGATCATGTGGAACTTCAGTTATTAATCCATTAAAGTCATTACTGCCTCCGAGTTTTATTTAAAAGTCAGGGTCTTTTTTAAGGATTTCATTAATGAGGAAGAGAACTATTTGTGTTTGATCCATCCAGTGTATGCATGGATGTGCACTCATGGACTGGCTGAGGGACCTTCTTTGCGTGGGTTTGCGGCGCTGAGCAGTGGGTGGGCAGTGACGTGCAAAAGCTCTCATGGACTTTGCATTGATTGTCCTGTTCTGACATCCTGGTTTTTACTGTGCTTAGAATATATGCAAACACGTCAGGCAATTAGACATGTGAAGACCTGGTTCTGCTTCATTATTTGACTTCCTGCAACTAATAATGAGATTTTTGAAAGATTTAGTGCTATGCTATTGAGTATAAAAGAAGATCGGTGGCCTGTGCAATGGAGTTAGGTGTGGTAGATTAACTTTGTCCTGGCATCTGTATAGAAGCCTCTCTGTAGGTATTATCAGCTGTAATTGGCACTGTTGCCAGAAATAACATGGCAGTATCAAAAACGTGGGTGTTTTAAGGGTGTAGCTGGGGGATTTGAAGTGTTCATTTGTTTGTTTAAATTAATAAAGACCCACAAGATTCTTTTCCTTTCCTAGGTTATTGTTGAATTTTGTAATTTTAATTCTTTTCAATGTTCTTTATAAAGTCTGCTGGTGTCCAAATTACATATAAGTACTTAAGAAAAAGCTAAGTATCATGGCAGCACATTGAAAATATCCACTTATGGGCACAGTAATGGCCTAAAATTAAATAAAGTCTTAACAGGTGGTAATGACTAGAAATGATCAACAAAAGTTTTAAATGATGCCCAGGCAATGACTGTTGGATACTACAATAATGATTCATAGCATGAAAGCGAGTTTTTATTCTCAGAAAGGTACAGGATATACCATGATTTTGAAATTCCTGGAGGAGTCCAGTGCCTTGTGTTATTTACTACCTCTTTCCAGTAAAACTGTGGCTGTGAGAGTAAAGCAAGTTAGAGTAAGCACGTACTTGACCTCTGTGGGACTGATTTCTCCTACACTCAGAGGCTGGCTCGTAGGCCTGAGTGCTGGATACTTTTCAATGAATGGGTGACCCTGAGATCAGAATGGGTTACCAGGAAGGAGCAACAGCATAAATCTAAGATTAGTAACCCCTATGCTAAATACTTTAAAGGATCTCCCCATTGAAATTTTCAGTACATGCTTCACAAGGTCATTAAACCATCAACTGTAACTATACTAAGAACTAAGAATATATTTTCCATTACATTTGTTATCTTAAATATGATAATGTATATTCTCATAAAGAAAAACGCTTCTGGTTATTTCCAAAACCCACACTTAACGGGGTCAATCCTGCACAGGGGCCGGTAGGTTTCCTGAGGAGTTATAATATGAGCATTAATAATCAGATTATTGGAAGTGAAGTAATTGTAAAATTTAAAGTTTTAAGTTGTGCTACTTACTTTTTGTGTTTCTGTTTTTGAACTAATTTCAATTCAGCAGTCAATTTCAGGGTGCTTTGTAGACCTCTTCTGCATGCAGGTTTCTGTATGCATTACTCTGCCACATTGCCTGTGTTACAAATATTACTCATAATTTTTTGCACGTCTTTCCTTCTGAACATGAAAATTAGCACTAAGGCCTTAGGTTTGGCTTTAGAAAAGGCTTTTTTCAGTCTAAAGGAATCTTACGGTGTCACATTCAATCTCTCCTGTGAAAGTTAAATTTCTTTCTCTTCCTTCCTTTTATGTTCAAAAACTTAAATAATTTATTGCTACAATGGAATGTGTACTGAATCCAGTAACCAACAGAGGATGTGGAAAGATTTATTGGGAGAAACATTAAGAACATTCCTGGCCAGGTGTATTTTATTTCTTTCTTGTGAAATGGAAAAAAAAATATAGACCTCCAGCCAACTTCAGATATGGCTGGAAGCCCATTTGGAAAACAGTGTCTGTAATTGTGAAGTGCTTCTCAAGACAAACTGAGCAAAATATCATGAGGGGCACACAGAGATTTGGCATTGCTGAATAGCAAGAAATGTGTTGTTCGATCTTGAAAGTGACTGCAGCGTTTGCTGTCTGAGTGGGTGCGAACACATGACTTCCACTCTCCTCGTGCATTATACAGCAGTTTATACCCATGGGGAATGAGGGAATAAAAGTCCTACCGAATCCTCGGCCCATGACAAAAGATCCTGAAGGAGCAGGACCTAAGTACAATTCCGCACTCCTTGCTTGACTGATAGGAGGTGCTACTCAGTGAACTGCAATATACAGATGTGGTGAACATTTTTATCCTACCACAATTTTTTAGAACTCTAATAAATAATTTTACCTCCTATTAGAATATATAACATGAGTTTGTGGAGGGTAATCTTTTGCAGAGTTACAAATTGTAACAGCTTACTTATTTGATGATTTTTAGGACAAAATGCTAGTTGAATACAAACATAATTTTTTTCAGGAATTGTAAAACAATCAGTTAAAAACTAGCTATTTTTGATTCTATCCGGTTACCTCTCTGGCATGTTTCCTATAATTTACATAAATCACAAAGTTAATACAAGTATTAACATAGAATCATAGTTTGGTTTGGAAGTGTCCTTTAAAGGTTAGTTATCTACTCCAGTCCTGCTGCAGTGAGCAAGGACATCTTCAACTAGATCAGGTTGCTCAGAGCCCAGTCCAACCCAACCTTGAATGTTCAAGGCATCCACCACCTCTCTGGGAAACCTGCTCCAGTGTTTCACCACCCCATCATAAAAACTTTCTTCTCTATATCTAGTCTCAATTGACCCTCTTTTATTTAAAACCATTACCCCTTGTCCTGTTGCTACAGGCTCTACTAAAAGATCTGATTCCATCTTTCTCATAGGTCCCCTTTAAGTAATGAAAAGCTGCAATGAGGTCACCTCCAGAGCCTTCTCTTCTCCAGCTGCAACAACCCCAACTCTCTCAGCCTGTCTTCATAGAAGAGGTGCTCCAGCCCTCTTATGATTTTTGTGGCCCTTCTTTGGACCTGCTTCCACATAGAGAGTGTTCCAGGGACATCCTTCCCCTTTTGGTTTTTCCTTCCACTTCAATTTCTTAATCTCCAGCTCCCCTCTGCTAGCTGAATAGGTAGGTCCCTTCAGCAGTTTTCCTATTCCTTAAAAAGCAGGTTTGGATGTTATGTTTCTGTACAAATTGTGGAAACAGTTTCTTCTTTCTCCATTACTCTGAGTTTCTTAAACGTTCTCTGGAAAATTCTTCCTTCATGCAGTGTCTGAATAAAAAAAGAGGGGAAAAGATACAGATTCAAACTGCTCCATCCTTCTACCATGGACAGGAAGCTGTATCTGCACCCCATTTTACATTCTCATACTCAGGACCCTAATGATGAGTTTCCTTGATCTGTCTGTTCCACTGTATACCAGTCCTTACTGGCAAAGCCTATTGCATCCAGTTTTCTCCATCATGGCTATGGAGCACAGCTCTTGATTTCTCTTTGTAGCTCCCCTTCTGTATTTATAAATTCTAGCTTCTCCCTACCCTAGAGTTTTATAGACCTTTCTTTTTCTCTGTTGCTTCACAGAAATTGTTCCCTCCTATTTCTCTCTCCAGGGATGTCTCTGTGCCTGGCTACACCTATTGCTGTTTTCCCAGTGGGCAAATGGAAATGTTAGTGGTAGGAAGAGGCCGACCTTTTATATCCAATACAACTGAAACTACTTGGTGATTAGACAAGACTCTTTCAAATGTGAGCTGGAGTGCTCAGTTAGAAGCACAGAATCAATGTCTCAGTTTATTACTGTTTCCTGTATTGGTTTCTATACTTGCCTATCAAAACCAGACTACTTTTTGAAGTTACCTCATACAGAGATCAACTTAAACCAGTGAAGTCCCAGTGCTTAATTGCCTTTGTGTTAATAAGTTTGTAGATTACAGATGGGATTCAGTAAGTGCTTACAGTTGCAGGTCTTTAACTAAGATACTCAATTAAATCTGCCGGGTTTTTTCCATGTTTTCAAACCCAACATTTTTACTGCCATTTAGATTTTAAAAATCAGTTAGGAAGCAAGTGGTCTCTGGATAGATGGCATTAATTCTAGTAGTTTTGCATCATGGAGATTGGAGAAAATGGTTATTACTATGAAATTGTGCTTCCTTAAAATACAAGTTTTAGAAGTTCTTCTAATAAGTACAAATAAATGGTTTTATTTGTTTCAACAATCATATGGTAATTTGACATATGTGAAAATTGATTTTAAATATTTATTTTTCCTACTTTTGTAAACATATTGTTTTCCCTGCTCTCCCCCTTTTTTTTTCCAGGACCCTTCACTTCTTCAGGAGACAGTAAATTCTGCTGCTGCTCTTATCATGGCACTAATAAAGGACAGAAACCCGGAGCTGATTGGCCAGCTGTTGGTAGCATAAGACCATAAATCATGTGTAGCTTTCGGAAACCTTTGTTTTTCATCATCTATTCACCAAATGTCTTAAGTCATTTTACTCTTTGATTAAAACTATGGATTTATGCCATTTACTATTAAGGTCCTTTAACAGCATATTTTTGATACTTAAAATGCAAGTCTGATATTATGTATAAAGTGTAATAGGAAATACAAATAATTCTGAGATACACTGGGTACATACTGTGAGGAATGATACTGAAATGTTTTTTAAGGTACTGATCATTTAAAAAGGTGCACGCAGGACACCAAAGCATTCATGCAGAATTGTCTTTAAACATGTGTGTGGTTGTATTCTAGGACTGCATGACTTAAATTTTATTTAAGATAAATTAATCCTAAAGCACAGCTTATCTACTTTATATGAAATTATTTAAAAATTGTTGCTTTAATACCTATCAGTGAATGCAGAGTTCATTATAGAGTGTAGCCTTCCTGACATTAAAAGAAACACATATTGCAAGAAGTGTGGGAAGGGTCAGGTCCCCATCCTCTGTGAAATGAAGGTAACCTCAAATCAAAGAAAAGACATGCATGGGGACAACAAGGTGCTAAACCCCAGTTTTCCATATGCAGTATGCTCTGGCTGTAGCCTTTTGGTGCTACACTTCTTCCAGTGCCCACGTGCCATCATTCAGAACTAGCTCCTGTAGCACCACTGAGTTACTGTAGTGCAAATACTCTGTTTTTGCACATCTGTCTATGTATATGCATGTATGTGTGTATGAATGCTTAAAGGGTGAGAAAAGGGTTAGGACCGAAAAAAATGTTTCACTACCCAATCTATAGGTCATGGAGAAATAAGAAGGTTCTGTTAGCTCAGCTGTGAAAATACGATTTTTGTCTCTTGCTGATTAACGTATGTTTGTATTAAATAGTAGTCAAGAGACTAGGCCTTATGAATTCAAATATATGCTCCATGGATAGTCACAAGTGGGACAGGAAGATGAAATGGTGAATGATTATTATGGGGAGTATCTCCAAGTGTCACAACCATTAAGAACAATACGAGTCCCTGAAAACATCTGTCCCTCCCTATGCAGCAGACTCAGGAATTCCATCTCTCTTGCAATTTGTGAAGGGGCTAGGTTAGTGTCTTGCGTACCTGCTGTGACTAGAATACAGTCTTGGAGCAGTATTCCCACAAGAAGTGTTCAGTGAGTCCCTGATTCAATCTGTCCTGAGTGAGAGCACTGTCAGTTCAGCAAGTTTCCCTCTAAAAACAGCATTCCTCCCCTTACTCCCACCATGTTCCACACCCTCTCATGCTCTGCACTTGGTTCCCTTCCTCTTTCCCTTGACACGACTATCTATAATGCTAGTTTAAATCCCTTTTAGAAGCTGATCTTGATCCCAAAACTTCCTTCACTGCATAATAAAATAAAGAGTTTTTAGCTGAGGATTCTGTATCCAAAGCAGACATTTTCTTCCACACAGAAGTCATGCAAAGACAACTAACAAAGTTCTTGTACATCATCTGCTTTTTTCTTTGCTTTTTTCTCCTCTCTACTTTGATTAATAATTTGTCCTTTCTGTCATTGTATAACATAAACATTCATATTAGCTTTTTGTATGGCTATACAATAGGCATATTTTGTTCATTCATGTCTGTTCATATGCAGAGTATGCAAATAAATGAAGAACTAAAGAATTTATTACTGGTATCCATAATTTAACAGGACAGATTTCACAAATAAGTTTTCTGAATTTGCTTTTATATTAATAAATTTGATGAAAGAATTTGTTTCACAGGCTTTTAAAAGACATGATGAAAGATGTGTCTTTGAGCGTATTTTGTGATTCTTTTTTTCTTGAAGACTAAAATACAATGTGATGTGTTTTCCCCAATTAATAAGCAAGTGAATTTAGAACATCCATAATGTTTTCTAGCCACTCTAATTTACATCATGATATTGCCTTAATGCTGGTTTGTGTGTAACATCATTTGCTTAAACAGAACCTTTTATTTTTTAAGGTGGTTTTACTTACATTCTCCTAGAAGGATTTCCATCCAATTAAAAATGATACTGCAATGAATTGCTGTAATGAAAAAATATAGTTGTTTATGGACTTATTTTGAAAAGAAAACAGACAACGCACAACAAAAAGTAAATGTTGGGTCATCAAATATACTTAGTACTAATCTTAAAAGGAAGATAAGATTAATTGCTAATGTACTGTTAATCATTGCATTATAGATTTTTTAATCTTTAACAATCTTTTCAAATAATCTACAACCACTGAAAAATCTATTTTGCTGGAAGCAAATACACCAACAACAGAACTACTAAAACAGATCATGAAATACTAGAACTGCAGTAAAAAAACAAAAACAAAGAGAAACTGGACTGTGATTAATGCTATTGTGTATCCAAACCAAATTGAAATGTTCTTTTGGGTGATTGTTAGTACTTACAATGGGAATAAAAATATAAAATGAAATTAAGAAACTGTTTGATTGTTTTTTGTCTGTGCATAGCTTCTCACAAATAGCAGTATACATGAGAAACTTGGCAGCCTTTTGTACAAACATGCTGTTTTGAATTTAACTAGTGAATCAGTCACCACCCATATTGCTTTGAACATTTGGACAGAGATAACAGAGTATAAATAAAAGCTCATACTCTGCCAGCCTTGCTTACCTTACTCCTTAAGCACTCTAATTAGTATTCCTTGGGTAGTGTTCATTAGAAAAGAGAATGCAGAATATGGCCCTCGAAATGCTTTTTGTAACTGCCAAGTCGAGTAAATTAGATTTGTATACTGAAACTAACCTACTTCATGGAAAATCTGAAATGTAAATTACTTTTTTTTGTCTTAGAAGTCAAGCAGAAGAATTCCTACTTACAGTCTTTCTTTCTTTAGCTTTTCAGGCGGCCTAGCTTGAAAAAAAAATGGTTTGATGGTCCTCTAAAAATGGCTGAAAGAATGAAAAGGATAGAACATGGTGAAATTAAAAACAAAAACCACCCAACACCCCAAAACCAAACCAAAAAGCAAAGAGAAACAAAGTGAAATGTTACCCTATTGCAATCAGTGGTATAGTAGAGTCAACTTTAGTTGACTTTAAAATACCACAATGAAGCTTTTAGGTCATCTTGATAATTAATGTAGGCTGCAGAACAAAAAGTGTTTCTGGATGCCGTGAAGCTTTTGGTGCATTCAAATTTGTATTTCTATGTGACATCAAAGTCTCATCATTGCCACAGTGCTGTTGTAGATGTCACCCAAAGAGAAGTTTCCAAAGACATGTAAGGTTTCCGATTACTACTTGGGACTTTCTGAAGATACAGCAAGTTTTCCTGCCTGTAGGTCACTCCACCAGAGAAGAGATGTACTTTGTTTGCTCTATTCTCCATGTCTAGGACACTTGCCTCTGCTCACTGCTTTTTGCTTGGGTTTTATGTATGAAGAAGAGCACATTCCGTTCCAGACATGCAAAAGCTTTTTATTTTCTGTCTCCTTTCTCTTCGTCCATAACTTTGATGTGAAAAATTCTGGTTCATGTTAAAAAGCGTCCACCAAGATGTGCAGACAATGGATTCTTCCCTTCATTCCTGTTGAGGAAGGTTTTGGGGCTCAGGAATAGGCTCATATTAACAGTGTTCCTTTAGGTGCCAGAGGCTGGGGCCAGAGTTACCTTTGTCCTGGATCAGTGTGACTGCTCTGATGACTGGTAATTGTAACAACTGTGTGTTATGGGACAAATTGAGCCCTTCAGAGTATTAATACTGCCTCAACCTCATGGTTTTTAAGATTGCTGATTATTCTCTCTGGTCTAGATGCCAGACGCACTAATCTTATTCCTATCTGACTGGAAAAAATCCAGTATTTAGTTATTAGATTGATTAATGCAGATGCATAGTTTAGTAGATGGTCAATTCTTCTCCTTGTATAGGTAATGATAGAATGGTATTCAGAGGACTTTCCTCCTGTTTGTTTTAAAAATCACTTATTAAAATCCCAACTAATTCTCACTGAAACAGGGAGAGCTGCTGAGACTTCTAAAAAGAACAATATCTTCAAGGGCTCGCATTGGTAAAATCTCTTATGAAATTTTAAGGTATAAATATATATATTATTTTTATGTTCTAGAAATATGTAATTATAACATGAAAAGAAGTTCAGCTATAACTACAGTTATATTTAAGGCCAGTCTTGAAGAGCTGAATTCCAAGAGACTTAAAAAACTGCTTTCATTATTCCTGCCCAACTCAATCAATCCAGTCTTTAGCACCGCACCTGATTTTGAATAATTTGTAATGGCACCCAGTTCCGTGACTGATGCCCTGCTCTGGGTGCCTACAATGAGATATCAAGGTAAAGTATGAAAATGGGTTCAAATCTTTGTGGCCCAAATGCCTGCACTTTCAACTTCAGACTGGTAATTTTTTATGACATCCATCTCCCTCGGCCCATTCCCCAGCCTGGTTGTTTACCCCAATTCAGTTTGTCTTGTGCTTCTGGCAAGCAGCAAGGGAAAGAAGCGGTCACCGACACTGCATTTTTTCCCAGTGTAAGTTGATTTTGATTGACAGGGCTGTAAAGCTCCTTTTAAATATACATTTTCCTTCATTATTTCTTACAGGAATACTCAATTAGTTGTGAGATCTAAAAAAAACAATTGCAGCACCTGTGCTGAGGAAACAGGCCCAACTGTGAAAATACATTTATGACAGAATATAGTTCTTTGCCTTGCATACACAAACCTGGGGAGCAAAGTGACATTTCTTATTTTATTTATTCCAAGGTTAATTTAAGTATACTTTTCAGTCTTTAGATTGAAATGGATCTTGTCCTTCCTCCTGCACCTATTCCTGTCTCAGAAACTAAAATTATAATTCAGTTAAAATGCCACAACACTGTATTATAACACAGTTACAAAGATAAATGAGTAATGGACTTGGACAAGGAAAAAGTGATATGAATTTAAATAACATGGAGAAGCAAGGAGTCAAGAGAGAATATACCAGAGCTCCTCCAGATGGCAAAACTTGCAGAGGGGACCCCTTGAATGGCACAATAGGCTAAGGGCTGCGGGCAGGAATGCCTTCCAGATTCAGTAGCACTTGAGGTGTCAGCTCAATAAGGCATTTTCCTGTTCAGCAGCCATTTTTGATGATCATATCCCTTGGTTAGTTGTTTGTTGCTACTTCTTCATCTCCTTCTTTTGCATTACTCTGCCTCCTTCCTTTTGTTTCTGGTCCTCAGACTACACACTTCAGATTTCACATTTTCTTTTCATTTCAGCCATTCCTGTCTTCTCCTGCGCCCTTCTCTCATCCTTTCCCCCCCTTCTGTTGCTTATTCTTTCTCTCTGTATTTGTCACTCTTTTTCCATTCCTCCCAGCCCACCATCGTTGAAGGAGACGATTCTCCGCTCCCTTCAGTCCACAAGCCAGGCCGTGGTCTGGCATCAGAAACCCTTCCTCGCTCCTGGATCGAGAACTGAGGCGTTTGGGCTCTGGCACCTCCGCGCTGCTCACAGCTGGGACCAAAAACAGATGTCACTTCCGCTGCCAGCTGCCGGGAGATGAGCAGCAGCTGCCTGAAGGGACAGACCTCCTGCATGGCAGCTGCTGGGCTGACACTGAATGCCACTTATTATCTGGCGTCAAGCTGCAGGCAGAGCCATCCCACTGAAGGGGAAATAATCTGCTCCAAGGTCAGGCTCCCCCTTCCCCCACTTCAGTAGCCAAACTTGGGTTTGTAAAGTCAGCACCTAGTCAAGGAGCCAGATTTGCAAATCTATCAGTGGCAGCAACAACAAAAAGTGAAAGAAGAGAAGCCAATCCAGGTACGGCTTGTAGTCCTGGCAAGTGGGAAAAGTATGTTTTCAATTACTAACCAGTGGCTTTGCCAGGAGTTGCTCAGAGACAAAAAACAAGGAACCCCACGATGCTGTGTTAAGCAGTTCCTTTCCACAGCAGAGACACAGCCTCATTGAAGCCCTACTAAAGTCAGTGGGACTGAAAGTTCCTTGCAGTGCATTCAGGAATGCATGGCATCTCCTCCCTCTGGCCATCTTCAGCTAACCCACACATAACCATACTGGTTATGCTGGGGTTTTATTATTATTATTATCATCATTATTTTTATTGTGCTGCAGTTTTAAGTGTGTATTTATGCTGTGCTCAACTCCCTTGCCATTTGGTGGGGCAACGTTATGGTCTTGATTAATACCAACTACGTCTTGGAATTTAGTTGTGACTCCAGCTTAAGCACCCACAGGCCTATGGTACTTGGGGTTATAGGGGCACTTCTGAAGGGCAGTTTGGAATTTCAAATCCTTTCAATACTCACTGTGAATCCAGTGACAGCACAGTAAGCCTAAAAGGATGATTTTGTGCACCATTAGAAGAAGCCTTGATCTCATGACACTGTGTTTTGTCCCTCTCTCTTGTACATTGAGGGCTGTGCTGCTGTGTAGCAATTCAGTTGAGGAAGCTGAAAACCTGTTATCTGGCTGGAAACTAACCCTACAAAAAGTGATTAGCTTTCACCAGGCACCAGGTGGGATGTCTTTGGGGGAGGAGGTACTTCATGATTCCTGCTGCAAAGGGATGTGCTGGAGGCATGTAGGGCTGCAGCAACAGAATCATAGATTAGCGTAAACTGACACTCAGTTGTACCATAGGGCACTAGTTTTGTAAATTTGCAGTCTCAGGTCCTGCATATGTTGAGGGCAAGATGAATATTTGTTATTCTAACTCTGTTATTCCCCTTCTGCGGACAAGGGTGCATAGGTAGGTGAAGCGCAGGATGGCCAGACACTGTACGTGGCTCCTCTCTTTGGCTGTCACGTACAGACTTTGTGAGCAGTGAAGTAAGCCCTGGTTGTGTGTTGTGACATGCAAACCTCTCCGAAAATGATACATCTGAAAATGCTCAGAGGTGAACTGCATTCCAGACTGGTAGGTCAGGATAAGAAAAGGAAGGAAGGAAACGAGGTGTCTCTCGCTCCTTCTGGGAGTGGCTGCTTACAGCAGATCAAAGAAGTACTTTTATGATGGATATTTCAAGAAAAGCTGCAAAATGCCTTGAGTGCACAGCACAAAAGGCACATTACATCTCCTTAGTTGTTTTGTTGGGTTTTTTTTCTGCTTCTTCTTTTAAAGCAACTGGCTTCACCGACTTTGGTCTTTAATCCTGCTTTTGATTGTGCACCCTTGTGTAGGCAGCTCCACAGAGCTGTGGAATGTGCAGGATTTGTCCAAAGCTTTGCTGCACCACAGCATGGTTAGTTATGGTTACTTACAGTGTAAGGACGGGCATTACAGTGGCAGCAATGCACCCTCTGCTGGTGTTCATCACTATTTTATCCAAAATCTTCCCCAAGTTAACTATCGACAAACCCTGCTGATGGCAGAGGAAGGGCCAATATTTTCCTTTCCATCTTTGCTGATTCCCAGCAGTGATAACGTGAGGTGTTGAGATGGGCT